CAGGTCCTAACTTCTCTCATCTCCTGGGTCTGTGATCCCAAGAGAGCAGGACAAGAGAAGAGGGGGAACAGGGTGCAGGGGCACGGATCAGCCAGGGATGGAGACGCCAAGGCGGAGGCAGCGAGATCAGAGGAGGGGCAGCAGGACCCAGGAAGGTCGGGTGTCTGTCACAGGGCCACACGCCTGCACTCACCACCTGCAGTTCCCTGGGAAAGCTGCCCTGGCCGGTGTGCTGGGAGGAGGCCTCCAGAGGGGTCGGTGAGTGATAGGGTGCCTGGATGCACACTTGTGTGTGTCCCCGTGCTTGAGATGTACTTGTGTGTGGCGGGAGGGCAGCCACCTGAGTATCTGGAGGTGTGTGCACAGGGCTCCTCTCAGAGCAGCTTCGCATGTTTGTGTCAAGCCCACGCCGGAGCTCCCAGGCAGGTGGGGCAGTGGGCCAGGTTTGTCTTCCCTTCCACCTGCCCTCCCCCACACGCAGACTCAAACCTGGCCCTGCAGGGGAACCCCCTTGAAAACCAGAGTGATGAGTCCCTTCCTAGCCTTCTTTGCTGTTATTGCCTGTTGCCATGGTCATGGTGGGGAGGCTGCTAAGAGGGGGGCCACGGGCCTCGCCGTTTCGTTGGTACACAGCACGGTTTTTCCAGACACTTGACCCCACACACACACACACATACACTCACACACACACTTAAAGACACACACTCTCCTGTAACCCTCCCAAAGTTTCAGCCACAGACTGGTGTGCCTCTCCAAATGCCCTGAGCTCTCCCCACCCATCCTGCCTTGCCCATGGAGACGTGGAGCCCTCATCAGCTGCAGTTCCCAAAATCCCTGGACCCGTGGGTGGACAGCTCCTGCCTGCCCCGGACTCTGTGTCCAGGCACCCCATCTGAGGCTTGGCCCTGACAGCAACCCAGAGACCTGGGACCCCCTGACTGCAAGGCCCCCTGCTTCCATCAGTGCCGCTGGCCCAGGATGCACTTGTGGGGGAGGGGCACTGACCTGGCCCAGGGCCCACCTGACTCAGGACCCGCAGGCTAGTTTGAGACCAGGTCCAGCTCTCTACCCCTGACCCCACTCTTTTGGGGTGCTTTTGGCACTGAACAAATAGAGGACATACTGAACCCTCTCACGCACCCCAAGGTGCAGCCTCCCAACCTTGCCCCCCAGTGGTCCCAGCACTGTGGCCCTGGCCATGTGCTTTTGTCTGTCCCAGCAATGACCAGCAGGCACAGACAGAGTCCAGGACAGGACACAAAGCAACCCAGCGGCTCGCCCCAGGCTGCCTTTGTGCCCAGAACGTTCTGCCCTGCACCAGGACAGCATGAGGGCACCCCAGGGCCCTGATACCTGGGGCGGGGGGCTGCTGCAGGGTTTGGGTGCACCAGCCAAGACCGCCGCCTCTATCTGCTCATCCCGGCATCCTCTCCTGCTCATGCTCCAGTCAGGCTCGGCTGGGGACACAGAAGGGGACCAGGCAGAACCCTGTCTTACAGAATTCTGGGTTGGCCCGCATGCATTGGGCAGTGACCTCTGAGGAATCCACCTGCAAGAGTCGGCCACTCACCACCCCCTTCCCAAGAGAGTTCTGCTGTTTGTGCCAGGACAGACCTTCAGGCCCTCCCTCCGCAGACTGGAACGTGCCTCCTGTCTCCCCTCTGCAGCCCACACCCAGGTCTGCTCCTCAGTGTGGACAGGTATAAGAATGTCCCCTCCTAGGGCAGAAAGTCAGCTGGGCTTTCACACACAGGTGCCATGAACAGTCAACACGTACTCCAGGACAACTGCAGAGTGGGGGTTGGGGGGGCAGAGCAGCTCCCCCCTCAGGGTCCAGCCGTGCCTGCCCTTCCCCCAGGCCTGGCTGAGTCAGGGACACTCAGACATTCCCAGGGTCTATTTTCAGCAGCTTGTCTCCCGGGACCCCCTGTCTGCCCTGAGGTCTGGCCCAGGGCAAGCCTGCTGGGCCCCATGCCCCTCCTGGCCCGAAGCATGGGGGAAGGGCTCTGCTCACAGCAACCCAGGTGGGAGGAAGGCCCTTCCCCTCACTCCTGGAAGCGGGAATGGCATACAAAGGGGTGGGGTGCAGGCAGGGATGGGGGCACGTGCCCCTTGAGCTCCCTCAGCCAGCCCTGCCTGGGGTTCACAGTCTGGCCAGATGGAGCGCCCCTGCTCACCCCCATCCTTGAAGCCTGGTTCCGGGAACCTCTGGGCTCTGAAGCCAAAGCCCACGCAGAACCACCTCCAACTCCAGCCTGGCCAGTCCCACCGCTGGGCCTGTGCATGGCCCGGCCCGCCCCCGGAAGCCATCCCGGCAGCCGGTGGGTCCTGGGAAAGTGAGCTGCCCACACCTGGCTGCCCTGGTCCTGCCCCAGGGCCACTAGCACTCAGCCCCTGGCTGCAGCCAAAGGCCAGTGAGCCAGTGCTTGGACCCAGGGACAGGAGGGAGTCATGCACCCCCACCCCCTGTTCTAAACGAGCCCAGGGAGGCCAGTCTGAGCTGGGTGGGGGTCCTCCATCAGGTGGGGGAGGGGCTGCCCAGAGAATCTAAGCCTCAGGGAATTGGGGGCAGTGGGAGCTGCAGACACACCAGGCCCCGCAGAGATGCCTGGCTGGGGGTACCAGCTAGAGCCCTACCGGCCCAGGTCAGAAGTGGGGATGGGAGGTGGGGGTGGGGGTGGCAGGGGGAGTCCCTGTGAAGACTGGGGCAGTGGGAGGTGGGGTGCAATTGAAGAGCAGGATGGTAAAGCAGGCCCGGGGGGTTGTGCACAGCCCTGGGATTCTGGGGCGGGGGCAGCGAGGTGGTCAGATGGCATTTCAGGGCCGGCTCACTGGCTGGCCATGGGTTGGAGGGGTCGAGGCGGAGGTCAGGCAGAAGGCAACACAGCCGGACACAGACGCCCATTCCCTCCCTTAGCATCTTGTGGGTGCGTCCAGAGCTGCGGGCTCTCGAGGAAGCACCTGACTTGTGGGGGAGCTTCCTGGAGCCGGTGCCACTGAGAGAACCCCGGCAGTGCAAGAGGCACCCGGCCCCCACCTACGCTCCCAGCAGCGCCGCGCAGAGACCGACAGTAGCGGCACCGCCCCGGTTTCCATAACAATCCCTAGGAAACAAACACGGAGGCGCGTCACCCTCCGCCCGCAGGAAATGGGGCGCGCCCTCCTCGGCTAGACTGGTGGGGGGTGGGATGGGGGTATTCTGCGTCCAGGCAGAGCCGGGTCGATCCTCGGTGGAGGCGACCACTGCACCCCTCACCCGCGCCTGCCCGGGTGGGGCATTCCAAATAGGTCCCGCCCCCCCACCCCCGTGTTTCGGGACTGGCGCGCCGTCCACCATGTCTCTCCTCCTCACATAGTTTCCACTGGAGGTTCCCGAGGGAGGGGCCCAGGCTGCGCCCTTAGCAGCCACCCCCCCTCCGCCAGAAGACAGGAATTTCCCATCCAATACCGGGAGCCCGCTGCGAAGGCAACGGTTGAGTTTCCCCAGGGTGACCCCCTCCCCCCGCAAACGGGCGCCTAGGCCTGGTGGGAGGTAGGGACGAGGAGGGGAGTCGTCCCAGCCCCACCTGAGCACGCGTCGGGTGCCCCTACCTGCCCAGTACTCTGCCTGAGTGGGGGTCTGGGGGCCCCCTGGAGTACCCCCCCCCCATGCAGCTCGACCCGCCCTTCACATTCTGGCTGCATTCCCAGGGCCCGCCAGGTGGGTGTAGGCCTAGGGCTCCTGGCTGGGACTGGCCAGAAGGGCAGTCTGGCGGGACACTGGAGCCTGTTGCTCCACCCCGGGAAACGGATGGCTGCTCGTCGGACAAAGGGCCAGGCAGTAGGTTTAGCTATGTGAGCCGGCGGACTAGAGGGTGGGCCGCTGGGGTGCAGGGCGCATGAGGAGTCGGCCGCCTGTGGCACTGGGGACATGGGCCCAGCGGTGACCGGCCCGGCTGCTGGTGGCTCTACGGAGGGCGAGGCATCTGGGGGCCTGGTGCTGGGGGCTGGCCAGTGCCCGGGGGCGGGCGGGGGGCGGGGATTTTGCCCCAGGGCGCCTAGTGGAAGAGAAGGCGCGCCCTCTGGCGGGCTGTCCGGGAACGACCGATAAAGGGAAGGCGGACAGTGAGAAGGGGGCTCCGAGGAGCTCTCAAGGGGACCAGGTTGAAAAGGCATAGCCTGGCCCGCCGGAAGAGGCCGCAAACGATTCCATTATCACTGCAAACGCCACGCAGACTTCCGGGGACGCTAATCAGGCAAAAGCACCTTTCAAGCCCCTGCCCTCAGCCTGCCCCCATTCTGTCCTTGGCCCCATCAATGCTGAAGCAGGCGCCACAACGGCCTCCATGTAGCCAGCCCTGCAGGTGGAGCCAGGCAGTCTTGGTGTGACCATACCCCCTCCCCATTCCAAACCCTCTGGACTTCCAGGCTCAGTCCTGGCCCGAAGGCCCACCTCAAGCCATTCACCCTTCACCAGCTCCCACCCCTCCAGAGAGGACCCTCCTCTGGTGGCCTGTCTCCTCTCCCTCTGCATGGCAAGCCCTCTGCCGCCTCCCCAAGGCTGACCCTCCCACACCTCTGTCTCTGAAGGGTCCAGGCATCTCCTGGCTCTAGTGCCCAGTGTTGGCGTTTCCAGGGGGCCAGGCTCAGCCACACAGGCACCAAAGGGCCGGACCTCAGCATAACAAGGCTCTGTCCCCTTCCGGAACCCCCCACCCCCCCAGACATCTCCCATCCCCACCCACTTGCCCCTCGCAGCTGCCCTCCGGCCCTGTGTTGGCACCACAGCCCATAACACAGCCTTCGTCCCCTCACCATCAACCCAGAAGCCGGGCCCAGGTGTGTCAGGAGCATTTGTGAATGGGACAAAGGGACCCTGTCTGAGATTCATGTCCATCCCATAACCAGAGGCACAGCACTGGGTCCTGTAGTCCTCAAACCTTTTATTGACAGCAAAAACTTCGTGAGGGTGGCAGGTGGGTGCTTGCAAGGCAGTGTGGGAGACCGCACAGGGCCCTGGCAGGGTGCCCTGTCCACGGACACTGTGAGGAGCGTGGCTGTGGTCACAGCAGCAAAAGGAGATAAATAATACTGGGGGGCAGCAGGAAGGGAAAGTAGGATAGCCACCTTGGAGGGACCCACCCAGGGCCATGGAGATACACAGGGACACATGGGGCCACGAGACACACAGACACAGAGACATGTGGGGCCACACGGAGCGGGAGCCACAAAGACACAAAAGGGGGTAATGGGTGCTGGACAAAAAGGCAGACACACCCAGAGGAACGGGGCAATGGCCCAGTGCAGCTTTCTCTACCTCCAAGGAAGGCCCTGGACACAAGGGCAGGCTGTGCTGAGAAGGGACTGGTCACTCTCCCCCACAGAGCCAAGCAGTGGGCACTGGGCTAGGGGCCCATGCCCCGGGAGGGGGTTGTGGGCCTAGGGCTGAACTTTGCCCTCGGGGTCCCTGTCATAGATGTAGCTGCCCACGGCTCCGGTATTCACGCCTGTGGAGAGAAGTGGCAAGGTGGTGGGGAAAAGTGGGGAGACGGGGAGGGAGGCCCAATTCCTCACCCTCCTGGCCACACTCACCCTTAGGTCCGAAGAGTATTCCGTAACAGGGCTTGTGGCAGTAGGGCTGGCCGTCGTGCTGGGGGCAGGATAAGGGTTAGGCGGGGGTCCGCGGACGCCTCTCACCCCATTCTCCCCGGTGGCTTCCTCCTTGTCCACGTGCCTGCCTCCCTCCCTGAGAGCTCCCAAAGCCATGACCAGTCCACTCACCCGGTGGTGGGCGGCGCGCCTGCGAGCCTCCACTCCGGCCACCAGGGGGCAGCCCCCACCGTCCGGCGCGGCCCCTCCCTCCGGACGCGCGCCCCTTCCCGGCCCCTCCCTTCCAGCCCGCCCTCGCACAGGCCCCTCACCTCTGCGTGCCCGCCGGGAGTCAGTGTCTTCCCGCAGCGCTCACAGCGCAGGCATGGCCGGTGCCAGTCCTTGCCGAGGGACGTCACCTTCTCAGCTGGGAAGGGGGAGATGGTGACAACGAGGCCCGCGGTGGAGACCTCCCCCAGGTTGGGGTTGGGCGCGGGCACTCACCAAAGTAGACCCTCTTGTCGCAGCGAGGACACATGTTGGGTTCCCCGGTGAACGTGGTGACACTAGAGGCTGGGACAGGGGGTTGGAGAGGAGTCAGCGCTCGCTGAGCGGCTCCCCCCCCACCCCCACCCCCCAGACAGAGACCAGCCTACCTTTGCTGGGCCCCTTCGGGGGGGCACTCGCCTTTCGCTCCTCAGCTCGGGCCACGGGGACCTCAATGGGGCCAGTGACCTGTGCTCCCTCTGTAGAGGGCTTCTCGTAGATGTAGGACCCGGCACCGCCAATGTTCACACCTGTGCGGTGGCAGGCACTGTAGGGTGGGTGGTGGCCTCGCCCGCCAGCCAGACCTCACGCCCACAACTTCTCAGAAGGTCCTCCACAGTTCATTCTAGGGGGTCAGGACCCTGCCCCTAGAGGGCGCTGTGGCCTGGGGCTGATCTGGGAAGGGCACGGAGAGAAGGAAGATGGGAGGAACCCCCCGCCCTCCCTTCCAGACCAGAGCAGATCTCAGGCTGGGGGGCTGCCCCGAGCTCACCTTTGGGTCCAAACAGCGTGGCATAGCAAGGCTTGTGGCAAAACGGCTTCCCATCATGCTAGGCAAAGGAGCATGGGGTGAGGGCCAGTGCCTGAGCGTCCTGCGCCCCTCCCCCCATGTCCCCCCACCCCGGTACGCCTGAGGGTGGCAAGAGCTGTGGAGCCCTCCAGCCCAGGCTGAGAAAGGGGCTCACCTCGGCATGGCCCCCGGGCGTCAGCGTCTTGCTGCAGCGCTCACACTTGAGGCAGAACCTGTGCCAGTCCCTGCCCAGGGAGCTCACCTTCTCAGCTGGGGGCAGAAAAGGAGGTCAGGGCCAGTGCCTGAGGGCCCCCGCTCTCCCCAGGGTCTCCAGCACCCTCCCCGCCCTGGGCTGTGAGTTAGGAGCACGCATCTTATCCAGGGTTCCTAGCTCAAGCACCTGTTAACCCTCAACATCACACCTGCCCCTCCTCCTACACACCAGCCTCACTGTCCCTAAGCCATCCCCCAAACCCCCAACAGGACCCAAAGGAGTTGGCAGAGCCCCTGCTGAGGGGAGTGGCCAGAACCTCCAAACCCTGTGTGGGGGGGATCCAACCAGCATCCCCCAGTGGGAACCCCGAGGGACAGGACGCCTGCCTGTCTACACTTGGCTCAGAGTCCCCACCCCACTGCCTCCAGCTGCTGCTTTGGCGCCCAAGGTCTGGAACCAGCTGCTGAGGGTCAGATCAGGTGCCCTCCACACACCCCCACAGTGCTGGGCCCCATGGGCCACCTCCCAATGGAGGGATGTATGTGAGTTCTCTCCAGGGATGAACACCAGGAAAAGGGCGGAGGAGAGGGCAGGCTGAAAGCCCACCCGGAATTCCGGGAAGGGACCTTGCCAGGGGGCCAGGGTGGGGGCAGGGCGGAACCTGGCAGAACCCCAAGAGGAAGCCAAGGACCAGCAGCTCTTTTGGTCCTCCTCACATAGCGGCTGCTGTCTGGGCCAGGCCTCCCCTAGGGCCCTGGACGCCTGGGAGTGAGGGCCACCCCGCCATGTCCATGCCAGGGCAGGCAGGAGCTGGCTGAACCCAAGACAACCTGGATCCCATGCCAGCCCGGCGTCTTCTCCCAGTTCTCCTGCTGGCCAGCAGTGACTCGGCTGACAGAAACATGCTGCGCTGCTGGCTCTAGCATGTGGCCAGGGAACCGGCACCCCACCCAGCTGCACTATTGTTGGGGACACAAAGGCACAGTATCCTGAGGTCACTCAAGAGTGTCCTGGCCCAGGTTCCACTCTGCTCACACCCTGGGGTGTTGGCTGCCGGGACAGGAGGGTACCAGGATGCAACCTGGTTGAGGGGTATGCAGGACCCCGGTCCCCCACCCTCCACTAGTGCCCCCAGCCAGGACAGAAGCCAGCGGATCCAAGCCGCCTTTGTTCCTGCTGGGAGCCCTTGGCTGCCCACGCTGTCAGGAGCGCTTTCCTGGTTGTCCACAGGACTGTTGGCCCAGCCGGAGGGCCCTGGCATGGCCGGGGGCAAAGTTGTGGGCAGCAGGAGGACCCTGGGACTGTCCCCCACCCTGAGCCTCACAGGCAAGAGCCCTCCCTGGGATGGGGACAGAGGGTGGGGAGGGCTCCTGGGGAGGCAGCCGGAAGCCCCTCGGCTCCAAGCCAAACCAGAAGCACTCCAGGCCAAATCCGGTCCCTCCCCTCTGGGAACAGCAAACAACTGCTGGCTGCCTCCTCCGCTGTCAGCCCAGCTAGCTTCCTTGACTTCAGCCTGTCCCCATCCTGGACCCTGACAACTGCCCCAGGGCGACCTGGGAAGGGTCCCCTATCTGCCCCCACTCTCTGGCCATCCTGGCTCTGGCACCGTCTTCCCTCTGAAGGTGTTGGGGGAGATCGGCGGTGGGCAGGGGCTTTGCCACCTTGGCAGTCAGAGAGGCTCCGCCAGGAAGAGGGACAGTGGGTGAGTAAGCCAGTCAACCAGTGCGTGCCAGGGGGTGGCCCCCGCCCAGGGGCATCCTGGCAGAGACAACCCCTCTCCTGTCCTGCGCTGTTCTGACCTTGAGGCAGGAGGGCCTGGCCACCTGGACTCCAGCGCTCTCTCAAGCTCATGGGGACTCGCTTGTCACCCCACTCCACCCGTGGGAAAGTCCTGGGGGAACTCGCACCAAGGAACGAAGCACGTTGGGACACGCGGGAGGCAGCGGCCAAGATCGCCCCCGCGTGGACTGAGTCCAGACAGAGCCTAGACCTGGCCCGGCTCAGCGTGGGCAGAGGTCGGGGTGCGGATGGGGGGGGAGGGTCACTGCTCCGGGACACGCCGGCCCGGCCACGTGTCCGCGGGCAGGCGAAGTGGGGTCTGCAGGGACTGGCCGGGAAAGCCCAGAGCGCGCGCGAGGCGCCCCGAGCGCGCGGCCCCGCCCGACCCCACCCGGCTCGGCCCCGCCCGTCGGACCGCGACGCTCCACCGACTCCAAAAGGCTATCCCAGCCCCGGCCTCACCCCGGGAGGAAACGCGCTCCCTCTCTCCTCTGCCCCCACCGGGCGCGTCGGTGTTCGGGCGTGGCCGCCCCCACCTCATCGCGGCTACAACCAACGACCGCACACGCGTGGGCAGCGCGGCTAGCCGAGTCGGGGCCGCGCACCCCGGGGCGGAGGCTGGGCACACACCGGGTACCGCCGGCCGCGCGCGTCTGCAGCTGGGATCTGACTTCGAAGGGCGGAGGGGTGCGGGCCGGGCTGGGGAACTCACCGAAGTACACGGTTTTGTCGCACTTGGGACACTTGGAGGCCATGGTCAGTGCGCCCGGTCGGCTCGCGCTCTCCGCCCGCGCCCGTCTCCGCGTCGCCGAGGCCGCGCCCGCCCCGCCCACTCGGCTGTCCGAGCGCCCATTGGTTCCGTGGCTGGGGCGGGGCGTCGAGGTCCCGCCCCCCAGGTCCCGTCGCCAGCGGCGGGGCAGCCGCCGGGGCGGGGTCGCACCTGCCTGGCCCGCTGCGGGGCGGCCGGACCTGCCCGGCGCCCCTCAGCCCCGCGCGCGGAGTGGCGTCTGCCGGCGCCTCGCCTGTTTCCTTGGCAACGTCGGGGCCGCGGGGCGGGGCGGGGCGGATCGGGGAGTGCGCGGCCCCCGCGGCTCGGGGCAGTCCTGGTCAGCGGGGCCTCGGCCCGGAAGGGCGGCCCCTGGACACGCAGACGGACGCCCCGACGGCGGGCCCGCCCGCTACGCCGGGCCCAGGCGCTAGGCACCACCTCCCCCGGGAGGCCCCCACCCCCACCCTGCCGCGCGCCCCGCTCCCCTTTGTTGCTCGGTTTCCATAGCAACGGCCGCGCTGCAGAATCCGAGTCGGATTCCTGGCTGCCGGGCTACGCGGCTCAGGCCGGGTCCCGCCCTGCCCGCCACCCCGGCCCCACACTGTCCGTTGTGCGGAGGGCTCAGCGGGTGAAGGGCAGGGCGCCTGCTACTTCCAAATACAGCGCGAGAGAAGCTGCAGGGAGGAGACCGGGGAAGGGGCGACCGGCAGCCAGCGGGTGCGCGAAGCAGCGCTGAGGGTGCTGAAGGCGTCTTCCCGGGGCTCTGCCTTCCGGGGGCGGGAAGGACGGATGACCGAAGGGGCAAGAGATGGGGCGCGCTGGGGGTGCCCTCTGTGCATTCTCCCCCACTCGCTGGGAGCTCTGCCGGTGCAGCCCGCCTCTGGACCCACCAGCTCAGGGCCCAGGGCCTCTCAGCTCCAAAGCATCCTACTGGAGGGCCGGAGAGCTGGGGTCCTACTGTCCTCTCGGGACAGGGGCGTGCCTGACCACTCCCACCCTCCCTGCCTCCATTGAGTTCCCCTCCCCATAGGCCCTTCTCTGGGCCTCCCGCCCCAGCTCAGCCTTAAACTGGCAGGTGGACAGACCTCACGCCCACCCTAGGCTCAGATGACCAGCCCCAGCCCCAACCCCCACCTCTACATGCTCAAAGCTCCGTGCCCACCCCCTTCTCCTCTGCCCAGTGACCTGCCCCACCCCAGGACCCAGGGCCTAGTGGCATCCATCGCGGGCTCCTGGCCCCTGTGGCGGGTGTGTTTGCTGAGCAGGTCAGTAAGCGTGTCCTATGGCCTCCAGAACCCAGGTGCTCCTGGTGCCCTGCCCTGGACCTGCTCCTTGGGCCAGCCGCCCCCTCCGTGTATTCACACCCTGCAGCCACTGAAACACAAGGTCCCCCCAAGCCTGACTGACCAGCCTGACCAGCCCCTCTCCCTGTCCACACAACTCTGGCCCTGTGCCAGCCAAGGCAGGAGATGGGGACAGGAGGCCTCAGCGGTCCCTTTCCTGGACAAAGCGGCCAGCCATGGGGGCTCTCACAGGTCAGTAATTCTCAGCCCGTTCCTTGGCAGGCATCGGGTGTCTCTGAATAATTCATGGCCCAGTGCCCAGTGGCGCCACTTACCTCGCCCTCAACAGCTTGGGAGCCCTTGGCAGAGCATCACCCTCCCTGACTCCACCCCCTCTGAAATTTGCAGGACTGCTGTGGAGGGCAGGGCTGGCCTGGGCAGGGCTGGCCTGGCCCGGCCGCACAGGTGTCTCCTGGAAGGAGGCCCCCCAAGGCCCCAGCCCTGCCTGGAAAGAGTGGGGTTGAAGGGATGGCACCTAGCACTGGCCATATGCTCCGGAGAAGTGAAGGGCCGGGAAGGTGCCCAGGCCGCCGGCTCCCTCATGTGCCAGGGCTATGCTGGGCCTGGTGGAAACGGGCTCTGATCAATGGATAGGACAGCAGTGTCCACCTCTGAGGCCACTGTGGGTAGAAGGTGGGGCAGGGACAGGGAGGGTGGGCTCCCAGTCAGGACCCAGGGCTGGGTGAGGACAGCTGCGTTTGAAGGAAGCAGGCAGGGCCCTGACATGGCATGGCCAGGTGCCCAGGTGTGGGGGCAGGTTCCTCCCCAGGGGCCACGGTGGCACGGCACACTGTGGTTCACCCATCTTCACATGCCGTCATCCTGGCAACATAGACAAATGACAGCAGGACCCAGGGCTGAGCTCTGCAGGGGCTTTAGGTGCAGGCCCCTTATGGGGACCACTCTTGCCCACCTGAGATGGCTTTTGCTCCCCCAGCCTGTGCCCACTCTCCATTCTAAGCCTTACTTCAGACCTCAAGCTGCCCAGAGGCGGACAGGCAGTCCAGACCCTGGCTGCAGTGCTGGGGGACCCTGCCCAGCCAGGATGGGTGAGGGCTACCTGGTTCAGGCCTGGGGGAGGGCAAGTTGGGAGGAAGCCCCTGGGCCTGAAGAGGGCAGGGGACTGGAGTGGGCAAGGAAGGCTGGGCCTAGGGAGAGCCACGCCCACCACATCCTCCCCACCCCAGAGGCTGTCTCAAGGTCACTGCCAGGTCTCTCTGCTGAGACTTCGTCCTGGGCAATGGGGGCCATGGGGGAGCAGGACTGCAGATTAGAGTTGGCTGGGTGTGTCACAGCCATTTCTCCCACACCCTGGCCTGTCACCCTGTTGGCCCATCACAAGCTGTCAGAGGGAGGCCCAGACACCCCTTATCTGTCTCCAGCCAGGGAGCAGTGGCTTCTATTTTAATTCCCAGGCTGAGAGGTCCACACCTCAAGCTGGGGCTGGCAAAGCAGGAGGCAGAGCTCAGGGGGGGACGAGGGAGCCCCCCCAGGGAGGGCCAGCTGCGGTGGCCCAGGCTAAGTATCCCTCCCAGACCCCTCCCTCCAGCGGCTGGCCGCCTGCACCTGTCCTGAAGGCCTGCAAGGGTGGGTGCAGGGGGACGCCGGAGGTAGGGTTTCTGAGAATGGACTGGCTGAAATCTGAGCAAATTCCCACGCGGAAACCCCACACCTGCTGGGGCTACCCAGGCTCTGGGCAGAGGCCCTCAGACAGCTGGGGTGGGGCCCTGCCAGGAGCAGGCAGGCGAGCGGAGCCACGGCCACGGGCCAGGTCCCTGGCCTCGGACAGACGCACAGTCTGTTCCCCAGCCCCCCAGGTGCCAGGCCCTGCTAGAGGCAGGTGTACAGGCAGAGCCCCCAGGCCAGCCTGGAGGCCAGGACGGCCACAGGCCACACGCTGCTCACTGGGGCTTCTCCCCATGGGTCCTCTGGCCTGCAGCCACCCACCTGGCACATAGGATGGCCCAGGAGAGAGGGGCTGGCGGCCTCTGGACACCCCCGGGAGAGCAGCCGTCCATCCCAGGCCAGCTCCTGCAGGGTGCTGGGGGCAGGGAGGGACAGAGAGGGGGAGGGGGAGACAAAACACACGAGCGGGGCTGCTTGGTTTTTTCTTTTTATGAGTTTTTTTTCCTTTGTTTTTTTTTAATATGAAAATTACTTGAAAAGACAAGGGGCCAACCCTGCCAGGCAGCTCGGCTGGCCGCTGGCTGCGCCGATCCTAACATTCCAGGTGTAAGTTACAGAGCTTAAGTTCATCTACAAAAAAAGTAATAAAAATAAAATTTAAAATGGCACCTTCAACAGAACACAACAAAACGTGCGGCCAGTCCACAACCCCGCAGTGCGGTGCGGACACTGGCGGCTCCTCTCTCTCCAGCCAAAACGTAACACAAAGGAAAAACCAGCTCCTGGGTGCTCAGAGAAGTCAGGCGGCACGTCTTCCCCCAGACGCCCCAGGAGCAGTTTCTGGGCAGGTGAGGGCAGGTGGTGGCGGGCAGGCAGGGGCACCTAGTCCTCAATGACGATGGGCTCGTCATTGACAGGTGCGGGTGGGGGCGGCCGCAGTGGCAGGGCCTGGCTCTGGCGCAGGGCGATGGGCTTGTAGGGCCTGCGGGCAGCGCGCTTGGTCTCCGAGGACGAGAGCAGCTTGCGAATCTTCCTGTGAGCGCAGAGTGAGCCCCGAGTGACAGGGACACACAGCTGCCCCACTGCCCCCCGACCCCACCGGCTGGAGGCCCCACCTGGTCTCCTCGGTGGCCATGTAGAACACGTCGTCAGGGGCGTCGATCCAGTTCATCCGCCGCCGCTTGACGGGGGGCAGGGAGCCCCCCCGGATCAGGCGCACTTTGGTGGGGTACGACTTCCCATTGAGGAGGTTCCGGCTTGGTCCCTGCAGTGAGGGGAGGCATAAGGGGGCTGCCCTGGGGCCTCCACGCTGCATACTGCACCCTAGGAACCACCAGACAGCTGCCTGGTAGATGGCACCGCACCCCAAAACCCCGAGGGCAGAGGGCAAGCCGCTGCCTGCCCCTCCGCTGGTCCCGCTGGGCCTCCTCCCAAAGCCCAAGGGAGCTATGTGAGCACACGCGTGTGCACACGTGTGGGGTGGGGCCCAGCCTCTCACCATGTGCCTGGTCTGTCCGTGGTTCGCCAAGCCTGACAAGAGGGGAGGACAGAACGTGAGGCCTGGGGCAGGGCATGTCCTGAACCCACACGCCAGCTGTGGACCTTCAGGGAGGCAGGAGATCCCTGGGGCCATTCCCCACCCCAAACCACAACCCACACCCAGGCGAGGCCTGGGAGACGAGGGTGCCTCAGCTGCTGTGGGTCTGGCCCAGCCCAGGTGGCCCTGGGCAGCCCCACCCATGGCTCTCCAGGGCTCTGAGGGCCACCTCTGGCCTAGCCAATAGAAAAGGCATCAGCTTGGGCTTCAGGCAGGAGGCCAGGAGTCTCAGGTCTGACAGCTTGCCCCCGGCACACAGGCCACCTGCCTGCCTGCCACCAACTTGGCCAAGACCAATGGAGCCGGTGTACACAGTGACCAGGTGACACCTAGCACAGCTATAAATACTGTGGCACCACAGAGCTCTCCCAGGACGGCCTCCTCAGCTAGCACGGCTCAGACCCCAGGAGGCCAGCTCCCCTCACTGAGTCCAGGGCTAGCCGCCCTGCAAGGGGCTGACGGAAGCTCTGGGAGCGGCCAGCCGATGAGGCTCTGTCTGGCCAGGGCACAGATGTTCCCACCCTGTGGGCTAGGGGTCTAGAGCCACAGGCCTCTGCAGTGAGTCAGGACAGGTGCCATCCAGGTCACAGTCCACAGCATGGCCTGCGCCCGACCACTCCCAGTGATGCCCAAGGCTTCTGACTCCCGAATGCCCGTTGGGTGAGGACCTGAGAGGGGAGGCAGAAGCCTGTGTGCAAACGTGTCAGTGAGCGTGCCCCCGGGGTGTTGGGAGCTGCTGTCCACCACGTGCCAGCCACCCTGCT